CCGCCGCCGCCCGGTGCGAGCCGCGGAGTTGGCTCCGCGCCAGGACACAGCCCGGGGTGCAGCCACGTCGGGACCGCGGCTCAGGGCCCGGGCCGGCCTCTCGTCACGGCCGGCCGGGTTCCGCTCTGCCCGGCCGTCCTTCCTTCCTTCCCTCCCTCCCTCCCGGAGGCCCGGTTTTCTCTCTTTAAAACGCACAAATTCGCTCGTGCAAAAAAATTCCAAAATCTCTGATTACACCCCGCAAATCCACGTTTCCCCATGATTAAAACGAAATGCCACCATATGTATATAGGTAGGCAAGGTTCTATCCTTTATTAGACCAGCTGAGCAGACGTTTCGCTAAAAACACCCGGTCAACAGCCATCCAACAAGGCACCAAAACACTAGGAAGGATGAGGAAGGAAGCTGGAAGCACAAGGAAGCCGGCGCGGTGCGCAGGCCTGGTCCCCGCGCTCCCGGAGGGACGCGGGGCGGCGACCAGGATGATCAGTGCCTGCGGCGGCGGCTTCCGCACGGGCCGACTGGAGGGCCACGTTTGTTCCGGTTCGAGACGACGTGATAAGGGCCCGCAACACTGAACGGGGAAGAGCAGGTCAGTAGGGACGTGTTTGCTCCCTCGCACAATACAGGGGCTGGGTCAGAGCATGAAACTAGAAGGTACTAAGTTTAAAACTAACAAAAGGAAGTTTTCCCACACAGCATGTGAAATGGGGAACTCATGGCCACAAGATGTCGTGGAAGCTGGCAGTTTAGCCAGGGTCCAAAAATGGACTGGACAGATCTTGGGGGAGAGTGGCACCACTAGTGAGGGAGCATGTGCATTAAGGAGCCAACGTCCGAATCAGAGCTTCCTAGGCCTGAAATGGTGGAGTCCACGGATGTCACCTCCACCCTCTGCCAGGGAAGACGGAGCGACCGCCTGACCTCGGGAATGGCAGTCCTTCGCTCCCACCTCAGGACCGGGACTGAGATCAAAACAACCATCACAGCCCTCTGCCAAACACTCCCCTGTCACCTGCTGTTGGGGCACTTCCCTGCTTCCAGAGACACATTTTAGGAACATAAATGTGACATAATTGAGCAGACGTCATTGCCATCTTTTCTCCCTCAAGGAATAAATCGCTCGACTGCCGAATGTCTTGAAGGCTAAGCTACTACATTTATTAGAGCTATAATAACTGTCCTTATTGAGCATGAGCATTCAGGATAACATTGACATCACTTCTCTCGTCCACAAATCCAGGTGCCCTATCGGGCTAAGTTAGTAGCACTGGCCACTTGATACAGGGGACGCAGGAGCAGCGGAGCGTCCTGCCCAGGTCACAGCGACTGGGCGGTGCGGCGGAAAGCAGCAGAACCCGCTTCCCCGAGGCGTTGATCTGCAGCGGGAGCTCCGTGGCTCAGATGAAATGACATCCGGGGGTGACCCGGCGCCATGTGCAGCAAACACGAAGGGGCCTAGTGTAGCTAAACGCCCGGATCTGGGCATGACACGAGTG